CAAAGGTGCTTTCTTGTTGTTCCTGAAGTAGATTTACTGGCTGCTTTTTCCTTCCTGTTCACTGGTCTTTTTCGGTAGTATCAGTACAGACATGATGCAAATGTGCTTTCATCGTCAGTAAAATCTTGTAGACTCTTCCTGCCCATGAGCTGGATATGCAGGACATATCATGTGTAAGGGGAAAAAAAATTAAACACTCTGGCCTTGACAACCAAAGGGAGCACAATGGACTTAAAACGTGTTCACTTTTCTGAAAAGCCAGCTCCTTGTTGTAATTGCAAATGAAAAAGTGAAAAGAAAGAATTTAAGTTTCTCTTTTGTGTCTGTTTGTTTACTTTGTACACTGACAGCATCTTGTCTCTTCCTCCTAATGGACAAATTTCCTTGCTGTTTCTATTGCTCAACCAAACCTTCAGGCAGGAGGGGAAATAAAAACAGCAGCCTAAGCACAGCAGAAAAATATCCCTGTGAAATTACAGCGGGATGAAAGTGGAAACGCTTTAGAGCTGAAATGTATCTTCCTTTCTCACAGACAGATAATTCCACGCTGCTGCAGCCCCCATAAAAGCCTTTACTCTGAAAGGGGGACTCTGCAGTGCCTCTCACCAAAGTGAAGGGTTAAATGTCACCAAGAAGGGACAAGCTGGAATTGCACAGGAGGGTTGGGGTGGCCTGGCAGGGATGTGTTCCACACCAGGAATCTCTTCTGGTGGTGGTGTGCTCCAGAACAGGATGCCTCAAGGGATCTGAAGGTGGGACCAGGAGGGCAGACATATAGGGTGTGTATATAGATATATTTATATATGTATTTATAGGAAGGGTGTGGTGGTGCCTGCTGTCACCTGCTGCTCTGCAGCCTTCACAAATCATGCTCCACTTGATGCCAAGGCTTGATTTCACTAAGGAAAGAGCAGTTTCCACCTTCTGCTCCCACCTAAGATCTCCCAAATATTTGATAATTTCACTGGATCTTTACTTCACCTTCCCTGAGGCTGAAACAAGGTGTTCAACACTGGATAAGATATATACTGGGGATTAACTTGAATAGAAAATTTACATAATTTATAATCCCTTTTAAAAATCAGACTATCTGAGCCTTCTCCATTTATTTTAAACAAATCAAATAGAAGATGCTGAAATTGCAAAGAGGAAAAACTGATGTATATCCCAATGCAGCCACATCCAAAAGAACTACTAAATTTAACCTCCAAACTCATTTAAAAAGATCAACAACTGCAAATGCACAACTTATTTTTTGTGGTTTTTTTTCTTTTTTAAGAGAGCATTACTGTTAACACTGCTCCCAGTCTGATCAATCTGTGACACACAGGGCAGAGGATTTTTCTATCAGGGTAGTTTTCTGAATGTGCATGTTGTGAAACACCAAGCATGTATCACTTTGAGCCAAAGAATATCTTTGATCACAAACATTTGATTTTCTCTCTTCTCCAAAAGTTACTTTGTGTTCCTATTGTACTCTGTTCCTTGTGAGCACAAAACAAATTCTTGCAATCAAGGGGCAAAATGTAGTCAGATAAACAAAATGAAAAGCAACAAAAGGATTTTGTTTGATTAAATGAAGAAAAGTCAAATTTCAGGTATGAAGAAGATGATTTCTGAGGCATCACATGGGAAACCCCACCAAGAGATTAGCCCTTGTGCACCTAAGAAATTTGCCATCTCCCTGACATTCCTACCATGTCTCTGAAGCATGGTTTTTAAAGTAGAGCCTTGAGGTTGCTTGGGCATATCTAAAAATGCAAATAAATATATTTTTTTTTTCTTGCCTCTGCCAGGTCAAGTACTAGAGACAAGTTTGCTGCAGCTGAGTGACGTGCATCTATTCAAATCCCTTCTGAACTGGAATCAATACTAGCTAGATCCATTACCTCCTGCTTTATTGGCAGCTTGGGTGCTTGTTCAGAAAACAGTCCCTCCTAGTAATGTAATAAAGCCCCCACCTTGGAGATAATTAGATTGCCTGGGATATAGAATCCACTGATGATCATTTCCCTGCTGATTTTGGCTTGCTACTCCAGCTCAGGTTGCAGTCTCCATCACTACACACTCTTACATTAGACCACTTGAGTCTCATCACCTAACAATTGCCATAGCAGATTTATTTGGATTTTTTTCTTTTAACTCTTCCATAATAACAGCAACCAGACAAACCTCAGAGTGTCATTAACATGCTTTTAAAAATGCACTGAAATGGCTTTTTCAATTACCTCAAGATTTAATATCCTGGCCACAACACAGATATCCCTCACTCTAATAACAAATCCTTCCAGGAGAGAACACATGACACCGCCCTTCCCTGAATTTCCTTTGGGTCCTCAGCATATCCCAGAGGCTGATGAATTCAAACTGTGAGAAAAGCACATTCCACAAATGCTATGAACATTCAGACATGGCCTTGCCAGCTGTCTTCCCTTACCACACTTTCCTGATGGGTTCGCAGTTCAAGTCCTCACTTGTCATGAATTTCATTACCAATAAATGGGGGAACCACAACCTCATTATACTTCCTCTTAAGTCCCCTCCCTTGCTCCTGTGGTGCAACCTGCCCCTGAAGGTCCCAAGCATGCAGGTTTTGGTTTTCTGTTGAACACTTCTTGCTCTTGGCTTCAATCATTGAAGGGTGAGAGAAAACAAATCCACTTGATAGAAATGCCAGCCTGTAAACGATGCTCTCCCTGTCCCAACAGGTGGGAATACATGACTTTGCACATCCCCTGGAGCCTGAGGATCATCTTTCTAATTATCTTCATGTCTTTAAACAACGGCAATGGATGGTTGGCAGCAACTCTCTGCAATGTATAGCTGATGAACCAGTACTTGCCAATCCTGAGTTAAAAAACCCCACTGCAAGTAGGAATATTTATTACCCATTTTTAGGCATTTAAACCCAAACCTTACCCGGTGGTATTAAATACTTAACTAAAACAGCAAAAGGCTGAAGAAGAAAGAACCGAGGCATAAAGGGAAAGTTGGTTTCCCTTGATGTCACAAACACTGACAGTTTTGATGTATTTATCAAAACAAGTACAAGAACACTCGGTTTGAAGGTGTCATTTTCGTCCTCTTATACTCAAGAGCTGCAAGTTCTCCCCTGGCTGTTTCAGGCTGTAACTCTTTCATGGGCACAGTGCCTCCACCAGAGGTTTTCTCCAATCATGGCTTTCTGCTGCAATTCATTAACTTTGAGGGAAGGAAAGAGGGTGGGTTTGCTCATTTGCCTTCCTAGATGCTAACCCTTAAATCCACACAGGCTGCCAATATATAAACACTCCATGGATATTGGATTGGTGTTTAACTTCCCACCAGCTGAACAATTCCAAAGCAGCAGCAATCAAGTCTTTCAGCATTGCCCATGAGCAGCAGCTTTCCACCCCCACAGCTCAGGTCATCAGTGAGAACAATGAATATTCCATGACACACAAAACACTGTTGCTTGCCAGAGCATTTGTTTTTCCCAATATGATTGCCCATTGGTTTGCAAAGGCTGAGGTTCTACAGCACAATGGGGATTGCCAAATCCTGGGATTCCCGGGAAACATCCCAACAGTCTTGGAGTTCTGCCTGAGCCAGGATAAACACAATGCATTACAATCAACAAAGGCCTTAATTAATGGATGCTGACATTGTACCTCCCGAGGAACAAAGGGGAAAGCAGGGCCCGCTGCCCAAGGACCTTGGAGTCTAACTCAGGCTGGCAATAGGGATCAGACACACCAGGCCTGCAGAGGGAAGGCTGACACTGAGATTTCCCTTTGTCTTATGTCAATACAGATACAAGCAGTGGCAGCAGAAAGCAAAACATCTCTCCCCAGGACATGAGGGCTTTTCTTGCCTTTTTATCCACAAGCAAGTTCAGATTTTATCTCCCCTTCTTCTCCTTATCTCTCTGCTGCCTCCCTGCACACACATACCTTTTTTTCTCATTAAATTTCTCCTAAGTGAAATTCTTTTTTTTATTATTTTTTGCAGTCTTCCACATTCTGGGTTCTACCAGCCCAGAACATCTCCCTCCAGAAGCAGATCATCTCACCTCCTCTTCTCTCCTGGCCTAAGACACCCACCACCCTGGTTCAAATGTTCTCACATATTTGGCTCAAAAGCTCCTCTTTCCAACTACTCCATGGTATTTTCCACTTTTTCCTACAACTCCTCCTAACAGCCTGCAATCTTTGCATGGTTTATGCATGACCCTCTGACCACAGAAGATCCCATCTCTTTCCATCCTATCTGAACTCTCCTCCTTCCATCAAGACCATGGGAAGCTGTCAAATAAAATCACACTTTCTGACAGTGCACTTGGACCCTGGGGAGGGGATGCAGGAGGAACCACTGGCGTCTGTAGATGTCAGGGATATGAATAAACTCCTTTATGCAGAGGATGTTAGTAAACCCCTGGATCTCATCACTGTCTATACATTGAGAAAATGAAATACATGTAGTCTACAAGCCAAACAAGGATAAACGTAGATCACAGTTCAAATCTGAGTACCTTCCCACTTCCAAAACATGCTTTTTCTTGGGATATTTGTTGATTTGTTTATCTTCCTTTGCCAAAAGCCAGGAATTCATCATCAGTTTAAATCCCTCCAGGTTTTCCATTTCCATTCTTGTTTCATTTCCATTAAAATACTCCACGCAGCCAAAATCTTACTTAGTTTTCACTATTTTTTACTGAGAAATTCAAATGTATTGAAAAAGAACTGTAATAAGGCCCCTAAAGATTTTAAACCTGAATAAGTGACACACAGAAACTTCTCTTCCTTGCAGTTGAGAAAATTGTATTACTATGCACAATATTGTCATTATCCTCTCTACTATTATGCCTAGATACAAGGAAGCTAAAATATCTACTTCATGCTGGTGAAAAGTGGACAGAACTAGAGGAAAATGCAGTAATAATAATAATAATTAAAATAATAATACTAATAATAAAGGCAACACAACCAGAGCAGAAGTGATGATATTTTTAAAATACTTACCCAGCATCAGTGCTGTTGCCACACAGTAACACATCTTCTGTACCATTTTTTATGAAATAGTTCACTGCAACAGAAATAGAGAAATGGCTTTTTAATAAATACATTTTGGGAACGATAACATTCAAAAATATCATCCACCAACCAGCATATTCAATTGGGACAGCAACTGAGAGAAGAATGGCACGCTTTTGCTTTGTTTTGTTAATTTTAACTTTTATAAATTGGAAAAATAAATAAATTTTTTTGAATCTCTGTAAGCCCTTGCTGTTTGTATTCCGAATCTGACCACTTGAATAAGGTGACAATGGGCTACGGGCAATGTTTTTAGGAAATTCTATCCAGCCATGTCCCTCTGTTCAAACCAAGAACACTGTTACTAAATTCTGTAAACATAGTGAAACCAAACCATATGCTAGCCTGTAACTTTTAGTCTCTACACTGATGAGACACATATTAATTGAAGTTTGTGGCAGAAATTACTGACTCATAGGTTAAAAACGTAACCATCTATAACTCAGAATGTAATAATATTAACAAAGCAGCCCACTCCTTCAGTCTGGTGGATTCTGCTCAGCATAGAAAACACACAGCATAAAGCAAAAGAAACAAAAATGCACCCTGTTAAAGATCAAACAAATAAGGAAGTGTTCACCAAGACAAATATTTATCACTGTAGTCATCTGTAATGGCAATGGAGAGAGACAGACACTTCTCAAGGGAAGTGCTCCTCCTTCCCAGAGGAGCAAGCTAAATTTAAGTGCTGTGGATTGTTCCCAGGTTGACTACCAATAAAGCTTAAGGAAATTAGCATCTCCAGGCTAACGAGAGACTTTGCATACACACTTCTTTTTCTCTCCCCAGCCAACCAAGTCTAACACGAAGGGTAACAGAACAGGAGACCAATTTCTTCGCAAAGAGATAAGCAAAATCAATGTTCTGGAGGGAGCGTGGAGAAAAGGTGTTCTAAGGAGCATCTCTAAAACCTGGATGGTGGCAGGGAAGAACGATAAAAGCATTGCTCTAGAAACACAAAAAATGCAAAATAGGTGTGCAGCTCACTGAGGAAGGGTAAATAATCTGGTATGCTTTGCTGCAGCAGAGAGGACGTGATCCCCTCTTGACCAAGCCATGGTGGTGGCAGCCTTGCCTGGTAAGGCTTTGTGAGCAGAGGGGCCTCTGCAGACGCTGCTCACGAGAGGTTCTCCATTCCAGGCTAACCCTCTGTTGTGAAATGTTTTAAAAATCAAGAGTGACAGCTTATCCAAGCTGGCTATGCAGAGAATGCTCAATGGCTCAACCACTGAACAGATGTGCTGTGGCTTTCTCAGTAAGCTGCGAGCAGTGGAAAAGCCCTGCTCTGCTGCATGCCAAGAGGGAATTACTGCCCAGAAGCTTGTGGTTACAGGGGCACGTGATGGTGTTCACAAGTTATCAGAGCACAGATCCTGCTCAGATTGGATGCTTTTCCACTTTGTCTGGTCACTTGGGCTTTTTACACACGGGAGGAAACACCTTGCGTGACAGCAACTCTCGGGACCGAGTGTGGTTGAGGATTGGTGATCAGTCACCACGGAACAGGGAAAGATGTCACATCTGCATCACCTTTCCCACTCCACTTCTGCTGGGCAAGGACTTATGTTTTATTCAGGACAGGTGACATCTTATTTGGGATAAACAGCCAGTGACACAAACACACCAGACCACTTTCTCCCTGAGCTAGATGGTCTTTAAGGCCCTATCCAACACAAACCATTCAAAGATTCTAGGTTTGATTGAAATTCTGGAGCATTGGTTGGAAACCCAAATGACACCTCCTGGTCAGCCAAATCAGAAGATAAGAATGGAGTCTGAGCACAGGATTAAGTAGGACAAGAATTCTCTGTGTGCAAACAAGAAATCTGAAATCTTGGAAACAGACAAAATTCTGTTGTCTGCTGTCGACTTAAGCATTTACATTTCTAAACCAAGCAGCAAGGCAGGTTCCAAAGAGCCCCATGAAGGGCAGGCTGAGGAGTTGGTGTGTAGGTGCTGCTGGGAGGGCACATCTTCACCACGGGGTCATGCCAGGGAGCGACACAGCCACCGTGACAAAGCTCAGGCTGAGGAGGAGGTGAGCTCCCGATTCCCCACTGATAAATGAAAGGGGGATTAGAGTTTTATACCCAAGGAGACAAATTGCTGTATTATCAAAGATGTGCACAACAATCAATCTTTCCTTCAAAGCCTGTTGGTTTGGATTTCAATCAAGCCTGCTGGGCAATCAAGAGCTGCAAGAAGCAAACGGGCGTCACTCTTGCTTTAAAGAATGAACAACCTTGGTACCAAATTAACCCATAGCCTCAGCTTCCCATCAGTTAACTCTAATGTGGGAAAAGAACTAGGAACTCCTTTTTCATGCAGAGCAGGATTTTCTCTCTGAAAACTGCTCAAACTGAGCAACGCCACCTGAAAACACAATGATTTTTCATTGCCTTGGAAGATTGCAATTCATTTCTGTTGTGTTTTTCACTGAAAAATTTTGGCTTGTGAGTGGGAAAAAAATAGGAAAACAAATATGGAAAGTAAAACTGAACCCCTCTATTTTAGGTGTTTACTTTTGTTGTTTTTTGTTTTTTTTTTTTAATTTCTGAAGTAAAATTAAACCAAAATCATGACATTTGTAGCACTTGTGTGTGTACATAAACTTTATGCAACGTGCCATTCTTTCCAAAGGTAATGCTATTTATTTTTTCTACCAGTTTTACTTAAATGTTGATGTCACAGTCATAGGGTTCATGTTGCTTTTTAAGAATTTTTCTACAGGAATTTCCAGAGTAAGGCAACTGCCTGGTCATATTAAGAGTAAAAATACTCTGAATAATAATGTCTCCTTCAAGTCCATGTTCTGCCTCCAACACTTCTCAAACCAAATAACACTGGCCATAATTTTAAAGTTACTATATGCAAGTGGGTAAAACCACAAATTTTCCCTGTGTATTCTTGCAATCTATTCTCCCAAAGTCAGTTCCCCATAATTTTGTCTGTTTCATTCTACACTTTTTCTGATTTCTCAGTATCTTCCAGCTTTCTGCATTGCTCCGTCCCACACTAGGTGATTCTAACAGAGTAAATTCACAATATCTCTACTTGTTAAATTAACAGAGGAAAAACGAAAAAGCTAACTTCCTCCAAAAAAAAAAAAATCCAATTAAAAATATGCTGCAGCTTGTGCTTTCCACACCTCTATCAGACAGCTAAGCAGAAAGCCAGTAGGGTACATAGACTACAGGGTAGAAACCTTCCTCATTTCTGTGTGAAGGAAAGGAAAATTTTCTCATTCAGAAAACTAAAAAAGATTGGAGTGAGCTTAGAAGACACAGCTTCTGCCTCCAGTTTCTGCTCCTCCTTTGAAGGCCCTACTGAAATGTTATTTTGACTCATCTTACAACAAATTAACTCCAATTAAAAATAAAATCACCACAACCACCCTATATATTATCACACTTGCATAAAGACCAACATTCAAATATCATTAGTCACTGCCCAGAGAAGAGTCCTCTGGCTGACTTTCTAACAAAAACTTCAGAGAGGTGTTTGTTATCGCAGACTATTTATTGCAGCCACACGGGCGCTCGCTGCTTGGAGATTTTCTCCCCGCGCTGGGGCTGGCACAGAGCACTGACAGCCACCCAACGCCCCCATTCCAAATTTAAAACGCAGTTCAGAAAACTCCATCTCCTTACAGCTGTGATATGTGGCACGGAAAGGAAACAGACAACACCCCCTCCTCGCCCTTTCTCCCACCGGCGCGAACACGCTTTGCCTCCCGGTAATACACGATAATTAAAACGAATCCTTGCTGCACTTGCTGTGTGCACACTGTGTCACACACGGCGAAGCCTCTAATAAATGAAATTGAGTTTGAAGATGAAAAACATGCCTCACAAAAGCCATGGAACAGGCTGTATTAAGGGTGTTATTAGGGGAGAATGCTTGGGAAAAAAAAAATGTCACTGCCAGTTAGCTCTTCCTGGCTAAAAGGGGTTGTAAATAATTATAATAATCAGTTACTCTCCTGTTGCTCAGTCCATGGCAGGGGATCTGGGTCCCCTTTGCTGGTGCTGATCCTTCTGCTGAGTTTCAGAGGCTCTTGGGTGTTCTCCCCTCCTTGCTTCCCATCCTCCCTCTTTCCCTGGGAAATCACTTATAGCCCATCTCTGCTGCCTCCATACCCTGTAGCCATGTGGAAGGACATTTCCTAAATTTCAGTTAAAAAAGGAACAGCAGGAGTTATGGCCAAGATGGTTGGGTGGGTAGAGGAAGCAGAGATCGAGGGGACAATTTTATGTACAGCATTGACAACTGCATGACTTTGTGGTAAACACAGCCTGGAATTCTGGGCATGAGTTGTCCTGCAGGGGATATGGAGGGGCTGGGAGGAAGTTGTAGAAAATCACACAACCAGGTGGTGGGAAGAAAGTGGTCTCCTCCAGCTTGAGTCTCTCTGGTAGGCTCCTGTTAGTGCTTCTCCCCACTCTCCAGACAAGTCAGAGGAACAATTTTCCTGCCAGGCTCAGCAGTTGCCACAGCACAGAAAATGTCTCAATTTTGACAGTACAGCTTTTTCCCTGCTTTGTGAAAAAGCCACTGAAAATATCAATCAAGCCCTCTTGAGCTAGATGGCTCCCATGCACTAGGAAGAGGCTCTGAAAGCCTCAGAGATCCACAGTACCTGGTTTGTGCTGCCCACATGGTCTGAAGGAACAAAAAGCACATCAGGAGAGGAGGAAAAGCACATCAGGAGCTTTTGGAGATGTGCACTAGAGGAGAGAGGAGAATTTAGCTGCTGTCAAATTGGCTTGGGGACCTTGCCAAGCCCAGGAGCATCCCCAGGAAGACAAGGCAGAGACAATGACTAGCAATAAACACACATGCTGGCTTTTAAACATCTTCAGATAACCTCCTTCTATGCCTCTGTGCCTCACCAGTCACTCAGACCCACACTCTTAGGGCTGTAGGGTACATAGCATGTAACTAAAAGCATATTTAGTACCACTTATTTAGACATATGCTCCACATGAATAG